AGTCCCAGGGATCCTCCTTTCTGCCTGTACAGTTCTAGGAATACAGGCATGTGATGATGTGAACACAGGTATATGATGATGCAAGTGCAGGCATGTGAGGGTGGGAATACAGGCATGTGAGGATGGGAACACAGGTATGTGATGATGCAAGTACAGGCATGTGAAGATGGGAATACAGGCATGTGATGATGGGACTATGATTGGAATACAGGCATGTGATGATGTGAACACAAGTATGTGATGATGTGAACACAGGCATGTGATGATGGGAATACAGGCATGTGATGATGGGAATACAGGCATGTGAGGATGGGAACACAGGCATGAGATGATGGGAATACAGGCATGAGCTGGGAATCTGGGCACATGTACTATGCACAGGTTTTGCTTGCATACTGAGGATTTGAACTCAGGTCCTCATATGTACACAGAGAGCATTTTGCTCTGTTGACTGAGCCATCTCCCCAGCACCCACCAAACATTATTTTACAATATAAACAAACATTCTAGCTGCATGGTACTCAGAAGTAGGAGTAGACTACAATTCCATTTCTCGTTGTTAGGGATCAGACTCCAGGTCTCACAAATGCTAGGCAAGCAGTCAACCACTGAGCTATACCTCACCCCACTCTTCCACTGTTCCTGAATTTTCATTAATTAAATGACTGCAGGGAGTTAGGACAAACTGGAGGACTAGTGTGTGCAAGATAAGCATTCTACCACTGTGCTCTACCTTCAACCCTCGCCTTTAACACAGAACCTCCCTTCTATGAGTAGCCTTAATTATCCTGGACCTCACTCTGTAGACCAGGCTGGCCTCGAACTCAGAAATCTGCCATCCTCTACCTCCTAAATGCTGGAATTAAAGGCCTGCAATACCACTGCCTTTCGTGTATTTGGACCAGTAGAAGGTTCTTAATCCTGTAAAATATCTGCATCTCTAGTTACAGTGTTGCCACTATCCACCATGGCAAAACAAATTCTACCCAAAGGGACTGGTGGCCAGGAATAAACATGTGCCAAAGGTTTCTGCTGGGCACTGCCAAACTGCCAGAGGAAGTGTCCTGTGTGTTCTCCCCAGCAGAGCTCACCTCTGAAAGTCCAACACAGCACCCACCTTTCCACCCAAACAACCTTCTCCTTTTCTTTTCTTTTCTTTTCCTTTTTTTTTTTTAACATGCATCCCAGGCTGGCCAAAGACATGCTTTGAAGATAAGGATATCTGTGCCTCTTGAATTCTGGGATCACAGGCTCGTTGAGCCACATCTGGTTTACGTGCTGCTAAGGATTGAACCCAAGACCTCATTCACGCTTGGTCAACTGTCTACCAACTGAACTACAACCCCAGCCCACTTACACACACTACATTTGAAAGAGGCTCTTACACATGGCCCCATTCTTGTCCTCTGGCGTCCAGCTGCACCTTCTTCAACCCCTGCTTCTCAGTCTTCCCAATTCTGTAACCCTTTCATACAGTTCCTCGTGTTATGGTGACCCTAACCATGAAATATTTCATTGCTACTTCATAACTGTAACCTTGCTACTGTTATGAATCATAATATAAATATCTGATAAGCAGGGTTTCTGATATGTGATCCCTGTGAGGGTCACACTGTAGCTTTAGACTCTTGAAGATCACCCAGCTAACTATGTGATAACATAATCATACATGCTGGATTTCCTGGATAGGTTAAACAAAATATATATCATCCACAATATATCCAAATAATATCCAAAATAAATATTATCCATAACAGTTTTGCATCTTATTTATATAATAGTACAATTTGAGAGGATTTCTTTCTTCCTTTCTTCCTTCCTTCCTTCCTTCCTTTCTATCTATCTTTCTTTCTTTTGAGACAGGGTTTCTCTGTAGCTTTGGAGTCTATCCTAGAATTCGCTCTATAGACTAGGCTGGCCTCGAACTCACAGAGATCCACCTGTCTCTGCCTCCTGAGTGCTGGGATTAAAGGCATGTGCCGCCACCACCCAACTTTTTCTTCTATATTGTGCCCTGTGTCCGATCATTGTAATTGTATTTATTGAACTTTCCTTACTTGGGGTCCTGGAAGCTGCTCAGATCTCTCCCTTTCTTTTGTTTTTTGTTGTTTGTGCTTCTTGCAGTAGGGGATAGCTTTGAACCCCTAGCAGCTCCCCAGCGTAAGGACTGCCTAGGTCATCCCCCATACCACATTTACTCAGAATTCTGAGTGGTTTTAGCAGTTATTTTCCTTGTGGTTGTAGAAACCGGGGTTTCATTCCTGCCAGGCAGGCACTGTGTATGTGTTTGAGGCCAGCCTGGTCTACAGAGCGAGTTCCAGGACAGGTTCCAAAGCTATAGAGAAATCCTGTGGAAAAACAAAACAAAACAAGGAAAATTGGAAGAAAAGTGAGGGAAATGGTTCAGGCTGATGACAACAGAACAAGGAAGCACTTATGGTAATTATTTTTAGACAGGTTCTCGCTATGTAGCACCGACAAGCTGAAGCTCACTCTGTAAACCAGGCTGGCCTTAAACTCCCCGAGACCCACCTGCCTCTGCCTCCTGAGTGCTGGAGATGAAAAGACGTGTGCACCACCACACCATGCTGCATTCAGACTTCTTGGTGTTATAAGTAGGCCCAGCTTAATCCCTTAAATAACTTCAATTTTTTTAAATCGAGCCAACCCACCTCAACCAAAATTATTTGGCAAACAAGGTTGTGCCAACTTCATGGCAGCTCTCTGGGTTTTTTGTCTCGTTGATTGGTTTTAGATTTTTCAAAACGGGCTTTCTCTGTGTGGCCTGACTATCCTGGAACTCACTCTTTAGACCAGACTCACTAAGTGAGACCTCAAACTCACAGACACACACCTCCCTAGTACTAGGACTGAAGGCATGCACGTTGCCACCACCCAACGTCGATAAATCAGCTTATCTTGTTTGAACAAAAAGGACAATCCTACAGATTTCCTCCACAATCTGTGGCAGAACTCCATAGAAGCCCAGCACAGCCTTGCCCTGGTGGTTTGGAAGGCATTCTGGGAAGCAAAGCTTCCCTTCAAACTTGGGCTTTTCCTAAATTAGTATAAGGAAAGTTCTTCAGTGACCAAAAACAATAAAAGACAAAGCACCTTCAGGCTAATACAGTGTTCTTCTTTCCTTATTCTGACTTATTAAAGATGGCCAGTCCAGCCCAGTAAACACTCTCTATTCTCAGGAATCTCTGAGAGGCGTTACTTGTACAAGACACACTCACATCAGAAGGGCTTCCTAGGAAAGACTGACTTTCTTGGTATGCCTGTAGAGAAGAGAACACCATTGCTCCAGCAGGTCAACACTCTGTTAAAGCCAAGACAGTGGACCGGGTCTGCAGTTCCAGCATTTGGGAGGTAGAGCAGGATCAAGAGTTCAAGACCAGACTAGGCTACACATTGAGTTCCCGGCCAGATGGAGCTACAAGCTGAGACCCTGTCTACAAAAAAAAAAAAAAAAAAAAAAAAAAAAGCCAGCTGAAGCTTATAGGCTAAGAGCACTGGCCCTGAACTCATTTCCAGCACCCACATGGAGGCTCACAATCCTCTATAACTACAGTCCCAAGTGACCCAACACCCTCCACTGCTTCCAGGGACACAGCATGCATACAGGCAAAACATCCATACATAAAAACAAATGATAAAAAAGTAATGCATGTTCACATCCTAAAAACAAAACAAAAACAAAAAACAGCTGGACAGTGGTGGTGTACTCCTTTAAGGCAGAGGCAAACATCTGTGAGTTCAAGGCCAGCCTGGTCTACAGAGTACCAGGACAGCGAGGATTACACTAAGAAGCCCTGTCTCAAAAAAAAAAAAAAAAAAAAACAACAACAAAAAACAAAAACAAAAAACAAAACAACCCCTACCACCCCCCCCCCAAAAAACCCAAAACAAACCAACAAAAAACCCACCAGTATTAAGGTATTAAGGCTCAGTATTGGGCAGAGATAGAGGGTGACTTGGTTGTGGAGGAGCATTGGGAGCCTGGATAAGGTAGACTACTCAAAACTACTACCCTCTCATGGGGTTCAGCTTTGACTGCAGACTGCTTCTGATACTAAAAACGATCCTCCTATCATGCAACCATGGAATAAACCAAACAGTTACACTGTCCTGCCCATGGGGGCAGCAACTACATGTGCAGGGTACAGTGGAGATAGAAATACCACCCTATCAGGTTAAAGAAGGCCAGATCGCCCTAGCTCAGGCCAAAGTTATCTCCCCACATCGAAGGACACAAAACAAACGTCGCTGGGCAAACAGAAAGCGCAGCCTGCAAACAAGAACCTTTACAGGCCTCCGGGCCTCCTTTCCTTGGGCTCAGCTCAGAGGTGCCAGGGAGCGAACCGAAGGTCAGAGCGGTTCCTCCTGGCCTGCTGTCCCCAGAACGGAGCGCCAAAGCCTGGGGACGTTAGGAAGCAGCCGGCGCCGGCTTCTGCTCTTCGGGGAATCACAATCCCTTTCGCTAAAAACATTTAACTCCTCCTCTGCCTGCGCGTGGGACGACGAAGGTGGGGGTGGGGTGGTTTATAAAATACTGAAGGCTTTGCCTCAAGACACTGCGAATCAAGAAAGCGGGGGCGCTATTTAGGACCTAGGAAAGGTTAAACAGCTGTCACCGGGACGCCAGGCAAGAACTTCACCTGTTTCCAGACGCATATCTGCCCGAGGGCGTCAAGGATGCAAACAACATCGGGCTAGCTATCTGGGGAAGCGCGCGTTCCAGGAAGCATGGGTGACACGGGTGTCCCCATCGCATTGCAAGGATACAAACATGACACCCTCAGCACCCGGGGAATCAGAAGAAGCGACAGGGAGGGGGATGCGCGTACACGGGAACACGGGAGACTTGAGGTATCCCTCTTGCAGTGCAAGGATGCAAACATGACACCGCAATGGGCCCATGGGCAACCTGGACAAGCGATGGGGGTTTCGTTTGGGGGAACAGGGGCAACACTGGGCATCCCCTTCGCTCTGCTCACCACTTGCTGTGCGCCGCGGAAAGTGGCGTCCAGCAGCATCAGTTTCCAAGGGTCGGACACCGCGCCGGGCAGTGGGATGTACACGTAGTAGGCGGCCAGCGCCAGCAGCGCGGCCAGTAGGACGCACGACGACCTCATTGTCCCCAGGCCGGGCTGTCCTAAGCTGACCGCCGTCCGGTGCGATGCTACCCGAAGACCGCCGGTAAGTTTCTGCCAGCCTCAGCTGCTGCTTCACGTGTTTGTCCTAAGGCTGCGAGCCAATCACAGGCTGCGTCAGGAGGAAGTGGGAGCGCGGACGTGCCCCCTCCGGGATGTCCTCTCGAAGAGCTGCGGGCTCGCCAGGTTGCAGGAAGCGCGGTGGTGCTGCAGCGCCGGGAGGACGCACAGCAACCCCTGGCGGGCACTGTGAGTATGACCGTCTGCGATGCCAGGCTGCCTTCTAAAGGTTCGCAAAGGGGTTCCAGGCCAGCCTGAGCTACTTGAAACAATCTCAGAAGAAAAACTAACATCAACAAACAAACAATAAGTTGGGTTTAGCACATATACCTGTCTTGAAAGGTGGGAGCATGAGGACCAAGGTCAAGATCATCCTGAACTACATGACAAGTTTCAGGCCATACTGGGCTCAATGACTGACCCTATCTCAATGAAAACAAAATATTAAACAAACAAACAAATATAAAACTCAAATAATTGCATTGTGCAACTTCCAGAGCATATAAATCATCTCATCCAAAACAGATACTACTGCAAAAGATAGCAAAAATCCTCTCTCTAGAGAAAGACTTGGAATGGAATATACGTTCAGTAAGAGGTTCAAAAAGAGAGTTGCTGTACATGGTGGTGCATGCCTTTAATCCCAGCACTTAGAGGCAGAGGCAGGCAGAGTTCTGTGAATTTGAGATCAGCCTGGTCCACATAGTGAGTTCCAGGCCAACCAGGACTACATGGTGAGACTTTATCTCAGGGAGTGGCAGGAAGGGGTGTGGGCATGATACAGACAGACAGACAGACAGACAATCTGAATTATCATAGCTCAAGTAACAAGGCCAGTATAACTAGCCTTACGTCTTAGCTCCCAAATCCCATTCTCAGCTGGGCATGGTGATGGCACTGGTAATCTCAGAACTGGGGAGATGGAAACAGGAAGACCAGACGTTTGAAGCCAGCCTGGGTGAAACCTTGCTGGGGAAAGATAATGAAAAGGGAGGGCTGGGAGTTTATTGTCCAGCATGCACAGCCGTCAGTATCAACGTAATAAGTAAAGCAAAAACTTTATTTTAAGGTATATATTTGTGGATTGTAGAGATGGCTCAGTGGTTAAGAGCACTGGCTGCTATTCCAGAGGTCCTGAGTTCAATTCCCAGTAACAACATGGTGGCTTACAACCATCTATAATGAGAACTGATGCTCTCTTCTGGCATGCAAGCATGCATGCAGACAGAACACAGCACGTATAATAAATAGATAAATCTTAAAAGCATTTATTTGTCTGTAATTATGTGTTGTATGTATCTGTGTGTGGAAGTGTACACACAAGAGTAAGTACCAGTGGAGATCAAAAGAGGATATGGGATCCCCTGGAGCTGGAGTTAGGGGTGATTGTGAGAAGCTTGACATGAGTGCTGGGAACTGAAGTCTGGTCCTTTGCAAGACTCTTGCAAAAGTGAACTCCTAACTACCATCTATCCAGCCCTAAATAGTTTGTTGTTATTTTAAGAATCTGTAATAATTCTTGGTACTTCCTTTGTAGCTTGGAAGGGGGTTTTGTTATTTTAGTCTTTTCTTTTTGATAGTTTTTTTTATGACACCAATTAAGATGAACTAAAACCCTTTCTTTCATCACTCATTTCTATTACTTCATTCACTCCACAAATAACACATAGCCCACACCAAGAGCTAGAAGAGCTGGAGAACAAGACCGCAAAAATCTCTTTGATGCGGTGCTGGTGACTGAATCTGGGGCTGTGTGTATTTCAGGCTAGTACTTTTCGGCCGAGCTGCATCCCAGCCCTTGGACAGGATCTCAGGCTGGCATAAAACTATGCCGTGGCCTCAGACTCTACAGTACTGAGTTTACTACAGGCATTTGCCACCACCTGTAGCAAGTGAGCTTTTGTGTGTGTGTGTGTGTGTGAGCTTTTATATTTATATAATTTTTGCTTCTTTGAGACAGGGTTTCATGGAACCCAGGCTAGCCCTTTCCTGTAGCTGTGAACTTCTAATCTTTTTACCTACCTGAATTTCCTAAATATGGTTACTGTCATTTGTAGCTAATAGGCTACACTTGCTCATTTTTAATTTTCTGTGTATCATTATTTGGGTGTTTGTGAGGTACAGGGAAATTACACAAGGGAAGCCAAATAATAAAATAATAATAGCTCACATACAGGTGCTTCTTGTGCCCTAAATTCTATGGCAAGCACTCCAAAGGACTGATTTGTTTAGTTTTTGTAGCAATTCTGGAAAGCACTATTGTGGCTCTGAAAACAGAGGCATTGAAAGGAGTAGACAAGCATGGTGGCACACACTTTCAATCCCAGAACTTTAGTGTTACATGACAAATAAAAGACCCACAGACTCATAGTGGGGTTCAAACGTCAAGCTGAAGAACAGAAAAGCAAAGCAGCCAGCCACTAGCTCTTACCACAACCTTGGGCTGAAAGGAGTGTTCCTGCTGCCTCTACTCATTGTGGTTGGAGTATCCTAATGTCTTCCTATATCCTCAATGTTGCTGGAGAATGAATGCCTCCTATCCTTAATGTGATTAGAGACCAAATGCCTGATACTGAGACCTTGTTCCTGTCTTATATACGTCCCTAATGCTGGGATTAAAGGCATATGATCCCAGGTGCTGAGATCATCTTTATGTGAGCTGTTTCTCTTTAGAACTGGGTCAATCTTGGGTAGCTCTGGGTGGCCTTGGACTCACAGAGATCCACCTACCTCTTAATTCTGAGTCCTAGGATTAAAGGTGTATACCACCACCTCCTAGCTTCTGGCTGCTAGGATTAAAGGTGTGTGCCTGGCTTCTATGGCTTGTGGCTGAACTTTGCTTTCAGAATCCTCAGGCAAGCTTTCATAAATAAATGTATCACTACACTTGAGATGCAGAGGCAGGAGAATTTCTATGAGTTTGAAGACAGCCTGGTCTACATAGTGAGTCCCAGACCAGCCAGGGCTACATAGTGAGATCTTGATCTTGTCAAAGAAAGGGATGAAGGAAGAAAGAAAGGAGGGAAGAGGGGAGAGTGGAAGAAAGAAAGAGAGAAATAAAGACAGAAAGAAAAAAGAGAAGGAAAGGAAGGAAGGGAGGGAGGGAGAGAGAGAGAGAGAGAGAGAGAGAGAGAGAGAGAGAGAGAGAGAGAGAGAGAGAGAAAGAGAAACTCCAGCCATCCAGCTGCTGAAAGCTGGGATTTAAGCTGACTCCTGATGTTTCACCACTCATAGCCACCACTATGAAATGGGAACACAAGCTGAGGACAAAGCTCTCTTAGTGCAATGCTTGCTCAGCGTGCAAAAAGCCATGGATTTGCTCCTCATCATTGCAAGAACAGGGTGTGCTGGCACACGCTTGTAAGCCCAGCACTCAGCAAGTAGGCAGGTCGGAATTCCAAGGTCATCCTTGGCTGTGGCAGTTCCCTTTAAAGAAAGGAGATTGACTCCCGCGTAGGTTATCCAAGTGTGAGCCTGGTCTCCCTAACAAAGGAACATCGTCTTGTATTTATTGAATGGCACATCAAAAATAGCATGGAAATGGATGCAGGAGCTTTGTCCTAATCTATTACAAGAGTTTTACTTCTTGAAGAAATTGATTTTCAGAACTTCCTGACCCAGAACAGCAAGCAAAACCACGGATATTATCAAATGGTGTCACTTTCAATATTTTCTGAGGGTCATTGCTTTCAAGTCTCTATTTTCAGGGGTGGTTCTGGGCCTAGTTGCTGCACCTTACACACAGTATGTTGCTCTGAATCAGAGGCATGGGGAAGCTATGCAGGAGAAAGAGAGAGCAAGGTTTAAGATTAAAGCTACCTGTTGAGCTTGTGCAAGCTGACTGCATGGAAAATCCCAAGGTATACTAAGATTGATTACAATTGTCTTCTTAAAGATAAGTTAAATCAAACAAGCCAGGCACATAGTCCATAGTTTGAAATGATCTCAAAGCATATGGCTACAATATTGTTTTGGGTGATCAGGAGGCTTTCTGAGAAAATGCCATTTGGTTCAAATCTTACAGACTGAAATTCCAAGGGGAGAAAAAGCCGCAAATACGCCAAAGTTTCTTTAATGATAATTAACTCAGTAGAACTTAGTGGTTGTGGGGGCCTGGAATGGTGCAGATCAGGAGCCAACTATCTTGGGCTGTCTTTAGTTCTGCCTCCCTAAACATAAGTAGAAGCCTCTGTGACACCACTGACATGGGCCACAAGAATTTAGATTCCACAACTATTCTCAAAGGCAGCTTTCTCAAGAAGAAGTCTTCCGTGTTCAGTAACAACCATTCAGTGAGATGTAAACTCAGCATCTTTAATATGTATCCTCCTCATGAACAGGAATGATTTCATAATAATATACTGCTGGATATCCTGTATCTTATTTTCAGGAATGCCTCTTCATATCCTTAACCCTTTTTCATCAGGTTGGCTGTAAGCGCTTTGGGCGAATCGGGATGGAACAGGAGTGGGTCAAGTATTCTGGCACTCAGGAGCCACAGAATACTGAGTGTTACACAGCTCAGGTGGAAAGGTATCCTGGAGCTTAGGAGCCACGGAATACTGAGTGTTTGTTACACAGCTCAGATGGAAAGGTATCCTGGAGCTCGGGAGCCAAGGACCACCACAGGTTGCAGTAAGCTTAGCTGCTTACAGCCTTGCCTCAGAGAAATGCTTCCCCAGTGTATCTGCTCTGCTCTGGCAGGACAGGGTCTTCCAGCTGGGGATGGTCACCTAGTGTAGCAGTTTTGTTCCGCAGGAGGATTCTCCCCGAAGTTGCTACAGTTCAGCTCTGCTCCTGGAGAGCACAGAGCAGAGAGCAGGGAGTGGAGTGTAACAACTCTGCTCTGCCAAGGGAAGGTTTCCCAGGCAAGTGTTACAGCCCTGCTCGCTCTGCTCTGCCCAGGGTCACCTCTGCTCCGTCGCCTCCAAAAGATCTTCACCCAAAACTCATCCAAAGGGATTTATTGGAAGGAAGCAGCTGGACCAGACAAGCTGAACATACACAGGGTTTATATAGGGATTCTTGGAGGTGGGGAAGTTTTTCCTGGGTAGGGATTGGTCTGATTTCAGTGCTGAGCTCAGATTGGCTAGAGAGGATTGGTTGGTTTTCTGCA